CAGCGTCCGTCCCAGACTGTCCAGTCCGCCTGACTGCCGGGTGGGATCGGGATTCAGCCTTCATGATTACGCGCGGCCGGGGTCTGGCAACGGCCATATGCGAGTCCCCATCTCCAGCTTTGCAGTGACCAGCGGAGCTCTGAGCACACAAGGCTGGTATCCAGAACCCGAGCCTCCGAGTCGGCACATCGAAGGATCTTCCGCGGTGACCAGCTGAACTTGGAGCCGGGGAGATGACGCCCTGCCCGGCCTGGCGCTCCAGGCTCCGGAGGGAGGATCGGGGTAGACCAGCAGAGCTCCATCCAGCTTGCTCTGAATTATGTTGTCGGCCACCAAGCACAAAAAATGCCAGCACATCAACATTAGACCAAGATGTTGTCAGTATTGTTTTTAAAATCTTTAAAATAAGTCCAGCCGCGGCTCCAGTCCGAGAAATTGCAAATGGCTGATTATTGTTTTGAAACGTTTCTGAAGGATCCAGTGACTCCGCCCCCGACTCCGCCCCCGACCAATCAGTGACCGACAGTGTACTGACGTCACGTTTTTGTACCTCTTCGTACCGGTTAGAACCACAGAGCCAAGGGTACTGAAAATAGTAACAGGTGCTAAGTACCGGTACTAATGGAAAAGCCTCAGAACCAGGCCAAGTAGGGTCGAGTCGGCCCGTACCGGTACTAATGGAAAAGGGGCATTAGACTACCGTTTTGGAATTTTCATTAATTCAACAATTAAGGCGCTGGAGGGCATCTCTGAGGAATTGTCAGCCTTGAGGGTAATGGTGTTGCAGAATAGAATGGTCTTGGACTTGTTAACCGCATCTAGAGGTGGAGTGTGTGAGATTATTGGTAAGGAGGCATGTTGTACTTACATCCCTGATGAGAGTAGTACAAACCCTCAAAGCAGAGTAACAGAGGCCCTAGCACAACTGAGGGGTCTGCAGAAGGCTAAAGGAGAGGACCCTCCAGCAGGGTCAGAGGGATTCTTGTCATGGTGCATGAGGGGGTCTTGGAGTCAGGTGCTGCTCAAGCTTTTAGTCCCCCCTCTTGCTATAATTGTTCTTTTTTGTGTCTTGTTGGGTTGCGTTGCACCGTGCGCTAAAATGGCAGTCGCGCGGATGATTCACTTTGGTGGAGTGATAAGCACAGGTACAGCATGCCCTGTGATCCAGGCCAGTGAGGACTCCTCCCAGCCTGGACAGGACCACCTGCAGTTGGCTGAGACAAAATACCTGTAGCCTTTGATGTGTAGTTGGTCTATCTTGAGGGATAGACCAAGAGAGGGATTGTTGGATTTCATGTTTTATCTTTTATTATTATTTTAATCAAGCTTGAAATTTCATGTTATAAAATGTGTTTTGAAGGGTTTTTAATACCTTACAATCATTTAAATATTAATCAGTTACTTTGCTTAAATAGAATCTTAAATCTAGTTAGTTGCTTAAATATAATCTTACATTAACTAGAGAAAATCTTATAAATTCACATTCTTATTAGTTCACATTTACAAGAGACTCAGAGCAGGTAAGATACTGATTAGACTTCAGGAAGGTGCCTTGGAGTGTTACACTCACCACACACGCTCACTCACACACACCTACACTCACACACACACACACAGACTGAGGGACATTAAAACATCTAGAACACATCTTTCTACTTTAATCTTAATACAGTTTGCTTAAACTTAATCTAGTTGGCTTAAACATAATTAGTAAAGAAAATAGAAAGTAGCACTTATCGTTTAACAATTGTGAGCAGTTCAGAGGTAAAATCGGCAGCTAAAAACACCAGCGTGTCTTAACAATGAGCCATAAACTTATCTTTGGTATGTGACCTCCAAGACGTATCTAACAGCCAGAAGAGCCCCGTAGCCATGACAACAGTTGGTTAAACCAATCAGAAGCAGAGCTGCTAAAAATCTGTGATAAGGTGCAGAGCGAGAGGGCAGGTCAGTGCATTTGCTTGGAGAACTTCGATGAATAAGGTCGGTTCTGATAAAATGCCCTCTGTATGCATACATTGAAATTGTTTTATAATTTCTGAATACTTGTAATCCGTTGTCAAATAAATCTTTTGAACTAAGGTACCGCTTCAGCTGATTTGAACACCACTGTGGTTCTCATAAGCCACAACACTTCCTTTGACTCTTTCTGCAATCTTTTCAGCTTTTATGCATTCTTTTTAGCCGGATGGCTTCCTTTGACTCTTTCTGCACTATTTTCAGCTTTTCTGCATTCTTTTCAGCCGGATGGCTTCCTTTGACTCTTTCTGCAATCTTTTCAACCAGATGGCTTCCTTTGACTCTTTCTGCTCTCTTCAGCTTTTCTGCACTCTTTTCAGCCAGATGGCTTCCTTTGACTCTTTCTGCAATGTTTTCAGCTTTTCTGCATTCTTTTCAGTAGAATGGCTTCTTTTGACTCTTTCTGCTAACTTTTTAGCAGAAAGGCTTCCTTTGACTCTTTCTGCAATCTTTTCAGCTTTTATGCATTCTTTTTAGCCAGATGGCTTCCTTTGACTCTGCAATGTTTTCAGCTTTTCTGCATTGTTTTCAGCCAGATGGCTTCCTTTGACTCTTTCTGCAATCTTTTCAGCTTTTTTGCATTCTTTTCAGCAGAATGGCTTTCTTTGAATCTTTTGGCACTCTTTTCAGCAGAATGGCTTCCTTTGACTGTTTCTGGACACTTTTTAGCTTTTCTGCATTCTTTTCAGCCTGATAGCTTCCTTTGACTCTTTCTGCAATCTTTTCAGCTTTTCTGCATTCTTTTCAGCTGGATGGCTTCCTTTGACTCTTTCTGCAATCTTTTCAGCTTTTCTGCATTCTTTTCAGCCTGATAGCTTCCTTTGACTCTTTCTGCACTCTTTTCAGCCAGATGGCTTCCTTTGACTTTTTTTGCACTATTTTCAGCCGGATGGCTTCCTTTGACTCGTTCTGCACTCTGTTCAGCCAGATGGCTTCCGACTTTTTTGGCACTATTTTCAGCCGGATGGCTTCCTTTGACTCTTTCTTAACTCTTTTCAGCCAGATGGCTTCCTTTGACTCTTTCTGCAATCTTTTCAACCAGATGGCTTCCTTTGACTCTTTCTGCACTCTTTTCAGCTTTTCTGCATTCTTTTTAGCCAGATGACTTCCTTTGACTCTTTCTGCAATCTTTTCAGCTTTTCTGTATTCTTTTCAGCCAGATGGCTTCCTTTGACTTTTTTTGCACTATTTTCAGCCGGATGGCTTCCTTTGACTCTTTACCATACCATACCATACCAATTTATTTATATAGCACTTAAAACAGCAACAAGGCCAACCAAAGTGCTGTACAAAAGAACCAAACATGCACAGCAGACAGGAAAACATAAAATAGAAATACAGATACAAATAGCACCAGAAGCTAACTAAAATGGCCAACAGAGTAGAGAACAGACCGGACCAAAACAAATCGCACCGTGTTAAAGGCAAGCGAATAGAAGTGGGTCTTCAAGCGAGACTTAAAGACTGAGAGTGTGGGAGCCTGTCGGACACTCAGTGGCAACTCATTCCACAGTCGTGGACCTGCAACAGAGAAAGCCCTGTCACCCCTGAGCTTACGACGGGTTTCTGGGACTGAGAGAAGCATCTGGTCTGCTGACCTCAGAGAGCGCGGTGGGACATATGGCTGCAGAAGATCAGTGAGATAGGATGGGGCGGAACTGTTCAGTGATTTAAAAACATACATGAGAATTTTGAAATGGATCCGAAGGTGAATGGGTAGCCAGTGCAGGGAGGCCAAAACTGGCGTGATGTGCTCTCTATAGCCTGTACCAGTTAAAAATCGGGCTGCAGCATTTTGGACCAGTTGTAGACGAGCAATGGAGGACTGACTGATTCCAAACAGAAGTGAATTGCAGTAATCAAGCCTAGATGTTATGAAGGCGTGGATCACTGTCTCGAGGTTCTTTTTGGAGAGTATAGGCTTCAGCTTAGACAGCCGTCTCAGCTGAAAAAAACAGGATTTGACCATCATGTTTACTTGACTGTTGAGTTTTAAGGACGGGTCCATTATCACCCCCAGATTAGTCACCTTTTGTTTCTCTAGCGGGGCTAGAGAGAAAAGGTCAATGTCATGGTTCATGAGTGAGCCACTGGGATGGAACAGCATGACTTCAGACTTCTTCTCATTGAAGCTTAAGAAGTTTAAAGCCATACAGTCCCGGATGTCAGCCAGGCAGT